GCTTACTGCCGGGTCGATAATTGAAAATCCATTGTCAGTGGGTGGTCATGATCACTATTTCCGCCTTTTTAGAACATTTGTCTTGTGCAGATGTTCAAAGCTATTTAGGTCTCTACCAATAATATTATTGTTCTTGATGCCTTTCTGATTAACGTGTTTATTGTTTTGATGTGCTGTCTTCCCAAGTTGCTACCATAGCAAGAAATACAAAAATATCAAAGTACATGTATATATGTGTATTTCCAAAAATTCCCGCTGGTGGTTGGCGGGTGCTCTGGTGTGACTTGCTCCTTCTTTTCTACCAAATATCTATCGTCCTGATGTCTCCTTCCTTTTTGTGTGTTTGTTACTCTCTTAATTACGTACATTGTTGTGTTGCAGGTGGCAAAAAAGCCCAAATCCTTCCATCCACACCAAAGATTCTCTACAGGTAGATATGTAGCAGAACAACTTTGCCAATATCGCCTGGGTCACTTACATGACCAAAATTGAGTCGAACGTGCGGTAAAACACCTATTCATTTTCAATCAATCAAAAATGGTCACGTGGTCGTGAAATGAGCGCTCATGGCCACGTGACAGGTGGCGCTCACGGTGATGTTGACAACACTTCTTTTGTAGGTCAAAGGTGGTCTAGTGGTGAGGCTGGCGGACTCGTGTAGTTATCAGATGATGAGCTCGAGAGTTCTAGGCCCAGCATGATCCGGCCGACGTTGCGTCCTTGTGAAGGGCCCTTTACACTTTAGAACTTAGGCCTACTAATTTTCCAATTTAGCTTGGTGCTATCGAAGACGGACGCTTAATTCTGAGATGATAAGCCTACCTCTTAACTCTTTCACTACCGCGAGCCATGTTTCACGGCTCTCCACTTCCTGCTTCAAAATTCAAAACCACGCCTACTTTGATCATAATCGAATCTGAAATATTTACCATTATTTTTTACATGGGGCTAATATTGAAATTTGAACTTTAAAAATCTTTAACCCTATTCAACGTCCTGGGGTCATTTTGTACCCTCGGGGTTGTATTCTTTACATTTTAGAATACTTCTAGTACGAAGATCTCTTTGAGACTTTCAGTATTTTTCGAAAAATCATTTTGACAGACTGCTATGTTTCGGATTAACGAGTAAACTTCCTCTTTGGAAAGTGGTGGCACAGAGTTCCCCACGTCCTGAGGATACGATAGTAAAACACGACGTACGGGTATGGTTAAGTGGTGGCACAGAGTTCACACGTCGTATGGATATGATAGTAAAACATGACGTACAGATAGGGTTAATTTGTCCGTATGTCCGACAGTTGGCAGAATCGGAAAGTAGGTGACAGATAGGGCCCGAAATAGGGCCCGGTGAAGGTGAGGAAAAAGCCCCGGTAGTGGGTAAGTAGTGAGTTAAAAGTAACCTCCATAGTAAATCCTTACCTGTACTGAGGGCGTTTAACCTTTATAATTCCACATTTTAGCAGAGAGAGGAGAGTGGCGCCTGTTTGTAGCGTTGGATCTTCACAATTGCGCAAAGATAAAATCCTGTTGATACGCATGAACGCGCGTAATTTACCTCTTGACCCCAACATAATGTGTTCACGCGGATTCCTCGCTAATTTTGGCCGAGTTTCTTGTTCTCAAGATACTTTTTCTATTCCTTTTATAACTTTCTTTGAAGTGCTATCTTTACTTACTACAAGCCTGTTGTCGATTAGAAATAGTATGTAGGTGCAGAAATTAGATATTCTGCACGTATTGGTTTGGCTCATTTTTTGTTTTCTTTGTTTAAAAAAAAGGACCAACCTGTTATTTCATGTACAAAATCTGCGAAGTGAAACTGAACCTCTTTGAGAAAAAAACTAACTAATATGTACTTTTTGTTTCAAATTTTACAATGCCTAAAAGTGAATGAAACTTGATAGATGTTGTGGAACTAAAAGAATGGTTACTTCAGTTTACATAAAGGCCTCCTGCTCTGCTTCACTGATGTTACTGGCTCGGAAATGGAAAGAAATATGTAACTGCTTGGCCAGTTTATATTTATCTCTCCACAGGGTTGGCCCAGTGAGTCTGTATAATAATATAATTATACCAGCTACGCTCTCTGGTCGGCCTAACTAGGTCACGGTCACCTTGCTGTCTCTATTCATCTCCGTTCTTGTACAGCTTTTCTTTGCACCGATCTCCAGTTTGTCGGTTGTCACTGCAACTCGTCTCCTTCACTCCGGGAGTTGCCAGTGAACGTTTGGTTCATTTTCCTATCACTGGTACACAAGGTAAGTCTTTTTGGTTTTGATTTTTTTGTTTTGTTATAATATTTGAAGCAGAGCATAGTATTAATTGATTTCTCTCTTTGGCTAGTTTTATGGGAAGCATGCCAGTTTGTCACAGGCCTCGACTCTGCTCTGCATGATGGAAGTTATCACTGACACTCTCAAAATGAGTAGATCTAAATTAATGACTGACTGATTGCATGAATTGAATTTTATTTTTCAATTGATTTTAACGAAAGAACATTCATTGTTGAAATTGTACAGAGTAATTTAAACGAGCTTTGATTTGCACACAAAAAGGAAGAACAATTGAACAGCACTAGATGAATTGACATTATAGAGGGACTATCTCTACACCACAATTTGAAGGTGGAGAATAAAAAAAATTAAGCTACAACTAGATCTAGATCTAGATATATCTACATCAATACTCAAACCTTTAAATCAAATTGTGACAAACGGGGCCTGTGACAAACTGGGTAGCCCTCATTTTGTGTGGCATAGGCTAGCAGAATGTAACGTTGAACAGTCTTGAAACAATTATTGTGTTGTAGTGTGGTACAGCAGAATGTAACGTTGGACAGTCTTTAAACAATTAGTGTGTTGTAGTGTAATACAGCAGAATGTAACGTTGGACAGTCTTTAAACAATTATTGTGTTGTAGTGTAATACAGCAGAATGTAACGTTGGACAGCCTTGAAACAATTAGTGTGTTGTAGTGTGGTACAGCAGAATGTAACGTTGGGCTGCCTTGAAACAATTAGTGTGTAGTAAATCCATTATACCAGCTACGCTCTCTGGTCGGCCTAACTAGCTCACGGTCACCTTGCTGTCTCTATTCATCTCCGCTCTTGTACAGTTGTATTTGTATAGGCCTACGTTCTTTTCTTTGCACCGATCTCCAGTTTGTCGGTTGTCACTGCAACTCGTCTCCTTCACTCCGGGAGTTGCCAGTGAACGTTTGGTTCGTTTTCCTATCACTGGTACACTAGGTAAGTCTTTTTGGTTTTGATTTGTTTTGTTTTGTTATATTTGAAGCAGATCATAGTATTAATTGATTTCTCTCTTTGGCTAGTTTTGTGGGAAGCATGCCAGTTTGTCACAGGCCTCGACTTTGCTCTGCATGATGGAAGTTATCACTGACACTTTCAAAAAGAGTAGATCTAAATTAATGATTGACTGATTGCATGAATTGAATTTTTATTTTTCAATTGATTTTAACGAAAGAACATTCTACAGAGTAATTTAAAAGAGATTTGATTTGCATAAAAAAAGGAAGAACAATTGAACAGCACAAGCTGAATTGACATTATAGACGGACTATCTCTTCACCACAATTTGAAAGTGGAGAATAAAAAGAATTAAGCTACAACTAGATATTATATCTACATCAATACTCAAACACTTAAATCAAATTGTGACAAACGGGGCCTGTGACAAACTGGGTAGCCCCCGTTTTGTGTGGCATACACTAGCAGAATGTAACGTTGGACAGCCATGAAACAATGAGTGTGTTGTAGTGTGGTACAGCAGAATGTAACGTTGGACAGTCTTGTAACAATTAGTGTGTTGTAGGGTGGTACAGCAGAATGTAACGTTGGACAGTCTTGTAACAATTAATGTGCTGTAGTGTGGTACAGCAGAATGTAACGTTGGGCTGCCTTGTAACAATTAGTGTGTAGTAAATTTAGAAGGGACAGCGGCCCTTCGTGCTCTCAGAGGTTTTAAGTAAGTG